GACTCTGTCCTGCTTCTTTGTATGGGTGGTTGGACCTACCTGTTGTCCAGCGGTTGAAGAACCCGAACTAGACTATCCTATAGGTACCCCTGGTGGCGGGTCCTATTTACGGTCACGTTCCACCTCTGTTGGTTTCTTGTTCTTGACTCGCTTTCGGCAAGCGTCGATGGGTCGTTTTGGCCGTCCCGCGACTCCAACGCCTGTGACGCGTCCGGGCGCGTTGCGTATGCCTCCCAGACGGCCCGCTCCTGCCAGTCTGGTGGCAAGGAGTATGTGAAGAAGGTACGCTTCAATAAGGCCACCGGCAATGTTTGGAGCTCAGGGAAGAGCTGAAACATCCTATAACTGATGTTGCTGTCTTTTTCACTGGAGCGAAGTGGATTAAGATACTGTTGATGAAAGACATGCTGAGGATATCCCCAAGAGGGATGCCAAGAAGTGGGTGCCTGTGCTGGATCGTTCCGGACACCCAGAGATCTCTGGGGGGGGCCGACGCGCGCGCTCATGGCATGGGGTGTAGATGGGGGTGCGCAAAGGAAGGAGGGACATCATAGCTATCCAAAGTCGAAGGGAGCACAGTTAGATTCGATTAGGCTTTTGGGAACGTGAACTTTAATTGACCTAGTATACAGTGGGCCCCAAATAGATACAACACGCGTTCCAATTCATTCTGAACGTGTGGATCTACTGTTCGAATATTGTGTTCTGTTTCTTTTGGGGTCAAACCATGCAGACCTTCGGCTCGCGCCCTTTTTTCTCCAACGTAGCGAGTCGCGACGCGAAGCTCGTCGCTGACCGCTTCCATTGCGAGTCGCCCGATCGCTCCCTGCGAGGGGTCCAAGGGATCTGATGGTCGCCATGGGAGGTTGAAGTGCCTGGGAGGTTGGCAGCGATGCGTTGCTTTCAACGTGAAGGGATGACCCGAACAGGAAGGGATGACCCGAACACCAAAAGGTGCCCGAAAAACACCACCATCGACACTGACTGAGACGGGTGAACTGGGGCCCATGCAAAGAAATACAGTATACAGGTATTTGATCCACCCGGCTGTCTTCTCTAGGTGATGAGGATGAGGATGAGTGAGCGGCTTTCAAGGGCAGAAGATTCGACCAAAGCTGCGGACGGTGCTCTTCGGACGGTGGGTCCGGTGATGTTTGCTTTGGTGTGCCTCATCTACTTAGTCACTAAGTACTTGTTTTCTGCCATGGCGGTGTTTTGCATTTGCACTTGTTTTGTGGACTTTGAGCTTGAACACCTCTTTTTTGGTCTCAAAATAGCACACCGTCAGCATCTCAAGTTTCGTCGGGGGGTTGAGCTTTCCCTTCGAACCGGCGGCGCATGGCCAAAAGGGGTGTCAACGGTCGGAGCAGTCATCAAGATGTCACCTGGCTGTCGAAAGAAGAACTGCTTCAAGCTGGAATTGGCCAAGAGAGTCCAGAGGCATTGGTCTAGAGCTCAAGCTTGCAGTTGTATCCTCAGCCTTTGATCTTTGTTTTGTACATTAGGAGGGCTTCCATTCTGTACTTCTGCTAACGCAGTTTGGCTGATGTTTGCAGTTCGAGACGCTTGAAACTTGCAGATGACACTTTTTGATGGTAAGGCCTTTGCATAACTTCAGAGGTGCCTTCAATGCAACTCGCTGGTGGGACCCTGAAGTGAAAGAGTTCGAAGTCATCTCCCATGACTCCATGCCTTTGGCATTGTTGAGAACCTTTGTGATCTGCAGCCTTTGCAGCAAGCCAACTTCGGGTTCGCACTCAAGCCTCTCTTCACGCGATTCAGGCGGAGCGGAGCGGCGGGTAGAGGTATACTACTCTAGCGTGTTGTACCAGAGGCTACTCCTCATGGGCACATGGAATGGGAAGTCAGTCATGGGCAGATGTGGTACCTGTGTAAGATGATTCTATATATACATTTCTATACTCACCCACTCGTTGTGCGCTCCACATATGCAGATGTCATCTATACATGGACACGAGATGTCCACGAAGCCCCTGTACAGTCAAGACTCCAAAACAGGACAAGGGCATGTTCAAGCCATGCTCGTCCATCTGACCCCCTTCCACAATTCCTGTGGCGTGAGCAAGAGGGGCAACTTAAAGCCCGGGAAAGAACGGTTTCAGAGGACCTGCTTCCAACCCAGCTGGTGGGTTGGAAATCCTTGAAAGAGAGAAGCTGACCCAGATCGTGAGGTGTCCTGAGTGTCCTGTGTGTAGGACAAGGAGTTGAACTCTGTCACCCCAAGAATCCATGGACTGTGGTGACTCGGTCAACTCGTGGCTTCCTACACCCAGGACACTCAGGACACCTCATGGCTTCTTCCCCGGCCTCATTCCAACAACCTGATTGGGGAAACGTGTGATCAGTTTTATCTTTATTTTCCAGAGAAGCTTGGTGCGGGAGTCAGGTTGGAATGAACAACGCTCTACCAAGCTTCCAGCTCGGTTGAAACGCTGTTTCGATCCATCCAACTCATTGACTCCCTGTGTTGCTTCACAGATCCACCGGCAGGAACGGTCCAAGTCTCCGACGTATCACGCGACGTGACTCCCCATGTCGCGACGGCGAAAGCGACCCGGTCGAAAACGAGCTTCAGAACGCCCCATTTGCAATGACCATGGACCATAACTGCCTTTTTTGGAAGATTTGCTCTCCAGTTTATTGACCAACATGGAATTTGGAATTGCATTGCTTGCAGCCTTGCGCGGTAGTTTGCAAGGTATATATGCCATGCATATGAAGTGTTTGGTTACGATGATTCCTAAGATTGAACCCTCGCCTTTGCCTTTTGGCTCCAGCAACTGCCAGCTTCTTGGCTCCTCTACAAGTAAGTGTGCATAGAAGGTAGATGAGAACTTCAAGAAGACGCGATAGAACTTCGCAGCCTGCTGGCCACATTCTCGGGGTAATTGATGACGCTCGGCTTGCTTAGCTTGAGCAAGGCTGCTTCAAGAGCGGGGGCTTCCTTCTTCAAAGTATCCCTCGGACTACTCAAGGTGTCTTCAGAATGTGCCCTGCTTGAACATCGATATCTTGAAACCCAATGGCACCCACCAACCATGATAACAGCTAAACACACAACCAGTGAAGGCTCAGGTACAAGCGCCTGGGCTTCAACTATGTTGCATGTGCAATTCTGGTGAGGTAACATGTGATATATGACCACTGCCACCTTCGTAGATGGGCTTGGAAGTTAATGACCCAGCACCAAGTGGATCTAGAGCATCCATATTTTCTACAACTCGCCATTGAAAGAAAACCAAGCAACAACCTATCCAAGCCATAGCCGATGTGGTTTCAGATTCTTCAGGAAGGGCTCTCCACCATCCCTCTCTCTCATGCGTTCTGAGCGCCATGGGCCGCCGAGAAAAGGTGCGCAGCGTCCGGGCGAAGGCGGCGAAGACACCTTTGCGGAGTCCGGCGAAGGGGGCCATGATGGAGGGTGAGTGGTCTTGGAGCCTTCGATGTGCAACTTCAGTTATGGTTCAGTTGGCAGTTGCGGCATGTTGGGGGATCAATTTAACGGAGTTTATTATATTTGATAAGATGTTTCCTTTTTTTTGTGGGCCAGTGGGAGGGGGCAGTGTCTCTTGCCGGGAATCTTTCTCGAAGACTTGAATTAGACAAGATGTTTGTTACTGTTGGGGAGGAGGTGGTGTTTGTTGGTCAAAGGGATGGCTTTTGGAATGCTTCCTGGAAGATGTTTTGGATCTTTGGAGGGGGGTGGGTCTTCGAATCAAGAATCAAGATGAATCCCTAGGGCTCCAACCATCTCCTCAGGTTCGGTGGTTAGACCCCCCAAACCCACCCCAACCATCTTCTCAGGAGGTGGTTGGAGCCCTAGGGAATGAAGGGGTGAATGAGGACTGGCTTTTTGGCATCCCATCGTTGGAGTCATCGTTGGCAGGGCACCTTGCCTCTGAGGCAACGTCAGGTCTTGCCACTCATCACGGCAAGCCAGCCTCCTGCTTTGGTAAGAGACACACTTGCAAAACAACAGCATCCTCAATTCCATCATGAATGGGATTGTGAACCCCCCAACATCCTCAAAGTCCTAGGGCTCCGGGTCTCTACCATGACCCTAGGAATTGAACCGTTGATTTAATGATATAGCATGGGGGGTACCTTCCTTTATTATTCCAGGTGTGGGGTCACCTCCAG